CAGGTGTGGTTGCTCATGCCTGTTTTCCCGGAATGGAAGGCTGAGGTAGGAGGATCACTTGAGCCCAGGAGTTTAAAACCAACCTGGGCCACGTAGTGAGACCTTGTCTCTACTTAAAAAAAAAAAAAAAAAAAAAAAATAGCCAGACATGGTGGTGCATGCCTATGTCCCAGCTACTCAGGAAGCTGAGGCAGGAGGATCACTTGAGCCAAGAGTTTGAGGTTATACTATGCTATGATTGTGCCACTATACTCCAGCCTGCGCAACAGTGAGACCCTGTCTCTAAAATAATATTTTAGAATTAAAAAAACTATAGCCCAGTGGTAGTAGATTCACCTGGCAAACAGATTTGGGGGTACTCTTGTCCAGAGAATGTTTCTTATAAAAGAAATCAGCCACAAATTTCCAAATGATGGAAGTTTTGCCATCAACTGTGTCTGTTCAGAATTTTCTCTGTAGTGTTTAATAATACCTAGAGTTATCCTACAAAAGTAATCTTTAACTACCAACATAGCTTTAATTGTGAACCAGCAAGCCTTGCCCTGAGGGAATCCCGTAAGTGTCAACTTTAAGGAAGCCAATCATCTAAAGTGGGACAAAAATTCCTAACTGGTTCTCCAGCTAACACAGCATAACAGATGGTTTAACTAAACAAGTAAAGATAAATAATACCTGACTTAAATTATAAATAGAAAAAGTATCAATTCTACTAAAGCAAGCTTGCCAACCCATGGCCTGTGTGCTGTACGCAGCCCAGACAGCTTTGAATGTGACCCAACACGAATTCGTAAACTTTCTTAAACATTATCAGACTTTTTTGTGATTCTTTTTTTTTTTTAAGCTCATCAGTTATCGTTAGTGTTAGTATATTTTACATGTGACCCAAGACAATTCTTCTTCCAACATGGCCCAGGGAAGCCAAAAGATTGGACACTCTTGTACTAAAGCCTTTGTATTTGGCAGACATTTTACAATATTTAAATCAATGATATTAATATTAGAACTCCAATTTCGGTTGCCTAATCCAACCATTTAAGAACCAGTTATTTTTAGTGCTTTTAAGATTCATGCCCCAGAGTCTGGACAAAGTGGTAATACCTACTCTTAAATCTTTTGTTAATCAAAAACAGCCTCTCATTATATGAAAAAGAGTTCTAGAATCGCAATCAAGTGCTCTTCTGAGACATTTGAGAAGAACAAGCTAATCTTATTTCTTAAGAAGATAAAGGAGTGGTATAAGAATTACAAGGGTACTATAAACAACAGCATGAGCATAACATAGCACCCTGCAACAATTTCACATCATGGCAATAATTTTAAAAACTTTATTCCAGTAATAATAAGTATGGCTAAACTATGGTGAAATATGCAAAGTTTATATAAATTTCTAAGTTATACCCTCACATTAAAAAGAATTTGACACTATCCTATCACCAGTATATCCTAAATGTATTTACTCTTTTCTGTTATTTATTTAGGTACTTCGGCAGAAAGAGCAAAAGTGTTTGTTTTAGAGCCTGTTAACTAAGGAGCCTGTTAACTATTCTGTACTTTCTTTTTTAAAAAAGAAAAAAATAGAGACAGGCTCTGACTCTGTCACCCCAGGCGGAGTACAGCAGCATGCTCATAGTTTATAGCTCACTGCAGCCTCAAACTCCTAGGCTATGTGATCCTACCTAGTCAGCCTCCCAAGTAGCTGGGACTAAAGATGTGCACCATCATACCCAACTTTTTTTTTTTTTGGTAGAGACAGGGTCTCACTTTGTTTTCCAGGCTGATCTACAACTCCTGGCTTGAAGGGATCATCTGGATCATCCTGCCTTGGCCTCCCAAAGAGCTGAGATTACAGGTCTGAGCCACATTGCTCCTGGCCTTTCTAAACTTTTTAAGATGAAATTCTTTTTCTCTTTATTAGTAATATAGTGAGATGGCAAATTTATGATTATCTCAATTCCCTAAAAGATGTCTTCACTGAATTAAGATGTAAAGTTCTCCCTTGAATTGTTTAACAGATTGATAAAAGAAACTTCCATTGGCTCACCATACCACTCAGTATCTTTTTTTTTTTTTTGAGACAGGCTGGAGTACATGGCGCGATCTCAGCTCATGGTAACCTCCACCCCCTGGGTTCAAGCAATTCTGCCTCAGCCTCCCGAGTAGCTGGGACTACAGGCTCCCGCCAACATGCCCGGCTAATTTTTTGTATTTTTAGTAGAGATGAGGTTTCCCTATGTTGGCCAGGCTGGTATCGAATTCCTGACCTTGGGTTCCACCCATCTTGGCCTTCCAAAGTACTGGGATTACAGGCAAGAGCCACCATGCCCAGCCACCACTCAGTATCTTAATGACACTGCTAGGCAAAAAAATCGTCTGTTGCTATTATACCCAAACAAGACTACACCTCAATCCACTCCTCACTCATTTGCCAAGAAACTCAGTCAGGTCATTTTCCACTCTCATAATGGTCTCATCTCAGGTTCCCGCTACATCTACTCATCTTTTTCTTTTCAACGTTGTGTTCAACTATCCTGTTTCACCTTGCTCCTGATTTTATAAAATATTAAAAATTCTCTGCAGAAACTGAATGGTTACAGATCTAATATAATAAAAATTGCATAGCTTAACCATCATTGACAAAGTCAAAAAAGTAACAGTGACAGGAAAAAAAAAAAGTTGCCAGTTTTAACCTTCTGCAGTTGGAATTATGTGATGTCTCAGCAATTTTTCTTTCATACATTAATGAGCACACAAATTACTCAACAACTTCCATCATTTGTGCCAAAGGAGGGAAACCACAGGCAGCGTAATTCAAACTTACTAATTTAAATATACTACTCTTAAATCTGAAGACAAAGGCCTAAACTTATAAAATGGATATGTGGTACATTCTTTGGCTATAATTAACATTTTAAAGAGCTTACTACATGGTCAGACACTGTTCTAAGCACTGTGCCTATGTTACTGAACTCTTGGCCTTTATGAAGTGGTTACTACTATCCCTCTTTTGAAGATGAGGAACCCGAAGCATGGAGACAGTATATAACCTCTCAAGATGACACATTATAGAGCCAGCATACAGTCTGACCCTAGGGCCCATACCTTTAACTTATACTGAGTCACTGGATGGGAGAATAATTCTTTTATCATGTAAACCTGAGAGTTCGTTGCTGTTACCAAACTCATGCCTGACCCATGTAAGGTGTTCAATAAATGCTGAAAAAATTAAATTCTTAGACTTTTTTTTTTTTTTTTGCCTGAAAGAAACCAAATCCAGATGAGAAGACTAGCAAGGGAAAAGCAGAAGGTATTTTTGTACCTGCTATGTTATCAAAATATTCTATCATATCATCCTTCTCAGAATACCACATGTGATAAGATCTAGCCAATGTCTAAAGCAAATATGAGATGCTTTGGAATGAACAACCAACTTCCAGTCTCAAAGCCTCTAAAGGCTAACACTATTATTATTTTTTATAATCTGTTACAGAAGTGGGATGATTCATCAAAACAGATTATTTTCCCCTGCAAGAAGGAAGATTCAAAAACTAGAATAATTGTAACGACTGAAAATAAGTTTTCAGAGCCTTCCAAACCACATTATCACTCCAATGAAGTACTATAACACAAACTGTCTTCAAAATACAGATAAAATGTGTTATCAGTGCACATATATACACCTCATGAAAATACTCAGGTACCCTTAAAAGTAATCATAATTATGTTGCTGTACTATCCCACTGTCAATAAAATTCAGTAAAGAGATAATTATTAAGATCTATCAATAACTTGTCTGGATGCTAGTACCATGCTCTTCACAGTTCTCTCAGCATTGTTACTGAAATATTATACCTGACAATAGTAAGAGCACAAAGCCCCCAAATACTATGTAAATAGGAATCCAATCATCAACATCACTCAGGAATCTGCCATCTGCATTGATGGCATTGCTCATCTCTCCTCCTTTCCACATCTCTTCCAGTTGAAATGATGAAAATGAAAGGGTTCTTAGAAAACAGTTCTGAGTGGAAAAAACACGAACTCAAGCTTTATTTTTTCCCTCACACCACAAAAACAATTAACACAAACAAAAGACTGTGACTAAATGCGCAGGATTTCTCCCCACCAACCAACAAGCAATCATTTTTGTAGTAGACACCAGCTGGGTGTCCTCTAATTTAATTTAGACACTATCTACCTGGAAATAGTATAGTGTCAGACTGCATAGGCTGAGGGCTAAGTCCTCCAAAACTGCCCTCTCTTTAGACAGTCGTTGCCACTCTGGGTCTCCAGAAATTCTGACCAACTGGCTTTGAGTTGGGGTTTCTACAACCCCCTCTTTGAGTTAGATTTGCTGGAATAGCCATAGAACTCAGGGAAAAACTGACATTTACTGGTTTATTATAGAGGATATTAAAAAGAATATAGATGAAAAAATGTGTAGGGTAAAGGGGGAAAGGGTGTGAAGACTCCAGGCTCTCTCTAGGCATACTGCACTCCAGGAATCTCCACACACATTTAGCTACCCAGAAGCTCCCAAACCCTGACGTCTTGGGCCTTTTATGGAGACTTCACTGGACAGCCATGAATGAAGCATGGATAACCATGTCAAAATGTGATTGGACAAAAACAGTGTAATTTAATGCTAATAAACTGATTGAAAAAAACCAACGACGCCTGTCTCTTCAGATTTTTCTAGCCTTTCGGTGCACATTCTTCTCTCTAGAGTATGGGGCAGGACACTCTCTGAAATGAGGATCTGGTCACTCACAATCAGATCAGAGCCCTGCCTTGGGTATGTGAAAGGAGGACAAAAAAACCAGGTCAGAAAGAAATTCTGTTTCCTGAGACCTGCCTCTGAGGCCTAAAGCACCCCAACATTGTAACATTATATGGACTACAACAAAGACTATGAAAGTTATGAGCCAGGAGAGAGATTGAAGATGGCCGATTAGGAACAGCTCAGGATTGCAGCTACCAGCAAAAGCACAGAGGGTGAGTGGATGCCACATTTCCCGACAGATTTTTATTGCCCACAGACCAGGAGATTCCCAGGTGGAGAAGCCCCAGAGGTCGCCAGCGTGGCTGCTTTGGCCGGAGCGGCTGTTTTGGCTGATGCCCCAGCAGGGCGGTTATCTGTACAAAACACACGGGTCGGGGCACCATTTCAGCTGGCGACTGGAGCTCGGGCAAGACAGAGTCACCCATTCAACTGATAGAAAAGGGGACTGAAACAGGCAGCCAGGCCAGGAGATTCCCGGGCAAAAAAAGCGCCACGAATCTCAGCGTGGCTGTTTCAGCTGGCGCAGTGGGTCACCGCACGGAAAATCACACAGATCCCAGCGCCTTTTCAACAGGTGACTGGAACACCTGGGAAACAAAAAAAAAAAGGCTCTGAGGCAGGGAGCCAGGTGATCAAGCTTGGCTGGTCCCACCCCCACAAAAAAACAGCAATCGGAAACACTCTGGATTGAGTTTCACAGCAAGCACAGCTGAATCCGGGAGGGTCCAGATCTGTGGGGGAGGGGCGTCCGCCATTACCGAGGCACTCCACCACTACGGAGGTAGTCCGCCATTGCTGAGGCAGCCTCCCGTTGCCGAGGAAGCCCATCATTGCAGAGAGAGTCTGCCATTACAGAGGTGGGCTGCCATTGCCGAGGCAGTTCTAACAACACCTGTATAAACAGGTCTGCAGGGAAGTTCACACAGCAGCTGGGCGGGGCCCACAGCAGCTCAGCAAAGCCTCTGCAGGCAGATAGTGACTAGGCTGCCTCCTCACTGGGCAGGGCAGCCCTGAAAAAAGCCAGCAGCACAACAGAAACACATAAATAAAGCCCTAACTCCCTGGGACAGAGCACCTGGGGGAAAAAGAAGGGGGTTATGAGTCCAGCTGCAGCAGACTTAAACGTACCTGCCCAGCAACTCTGAATCAACAATGGAGCTCACAGCTCAGCACCTGAGCTCCTATACAGGACAGACTCTCTGTCTCCTCAAGCAGCTCCCTGACCCCCAAATATCCAAAGAGTCACCTCATAAAGGAAAGCTCAGACTGACATCAGTTGGGTATCCTTCAGGGACAAAGATAGCAGAAGAAACTGGCAGCAACCCTTACTGTTCTGCAGCTGCTGCAGTTAATCCCCAGGCAAGCAGGGCCTGGGGCAGACCTCAGCAGTCCTACAGCAGAGGGGCCTGACTGGTAGAACGAAAAGTAAGAAACAGAAAGAAATAACTTCATCATCAACAAAATGGACATCTACTCAGAGACCCAATCGGAAAGTCAACAACTACAAAGATGACAGGTGGATAAATCCATAAAGATGAGAAGAAACCAGCGCAAAAAGGATGAAAACACCCGAAATCAGAACACCTCTCCTCCTACAAGGGATCACAACTCCTCACCAGGAAGGGAACAAGGCTGGATGGAGAATGAGTGTGATGAATTCACAGAATCAGGCTTCAGAAGGTGGGTAATAAGAAACTTCTGTGAGCTAAAAGAACACGTTCTAACCCAATGCAAAGAAACTAAGAAATCTGAAAAAGACTTGACAAAATGCTAACGAGAATAAACAACTCAGAGAGAAATATAAGCAAATTGATGGAGCTGAAAAACACAACACAAGAACTTTGTGAAGCATACACAAGTTTCAACAGCTGAATTGATCAAGCAGAAGAAAGGATATCAGAGGTCGAAGACCAACTCAATGAAATAAAATGAGAAGGCAAGATAAGAGAAAAAAAAGTAAAAAGGAATGAACAAAGTCTCCAAGAAATATGGGACTATGTGAAAAGACCTAATCTACGTTTGATGGGTGTACCTGAATGTGATGGAGAGAATGAATCCAAGCTGGAAAATACTCTTCAGGATATTATTCAGGAAAATTTTCCCAACCTAGCAAGGCAGGCCAATATTCAACTCCAGGAAATACAGAGAACACCACAAAGATATTCCTCTAGAAGAGCAACCCCAAGGCACATAATAGTCAGATTCGCCAGGGTTGAAATGAACGAGAAAATGCTAAGGGCAGACAGAGAGAAAGGTCAGGTTACCCACAAAGGGAAGCCTATCAGACTCACAGCAGATCTCTCAGCAGAAACCCTACAAGCCAGAAGAGAGTGGGGGCCAATATTCAACATCCTTAAAGGAAAGAACTTTCAACCCAGAATTTCATATCCAGCCAAACTAGGCTTCATAAGTGGAGGAGAAATAAAATTCTTTACGAACAAGCGAGTATTCAGAGATTTCATCACCACCAGGCCTGCTTCATAAGAGCTCCTGAAAGATGCACTAAACACAGAAAGGAACAACCAGTACCAGCCACTCCAAAAACGTACCAAATGGTAAAGAGCATCAACACAATGAAGAAACTGCATCAACTAACAGGCAAAACAGCCAGCTAGCATCAAAATGGCAGGATCAAATTCATGCATAACACTATTAACCGTAAATGTAAATGTGCTAAATGCCCCAATCAAAAGACACAGACAGGCAAATTGGATAAAAAGGCAAAACCCATTGGTGTGCTGTATCCCGGAAACCCATCTCATATGCAAGGATACACAAAGGCTCAAAATAAAGGGATGAAGAAAGATTTACCAACCAAATGGAGAGCAAAAAAATGCAGGAGTTGCAATTCTCATCTCTAAAATAGACTTTAAAGCAACAAAGATCAAAAGAGACAAAGAAGGACGTTACATAATGGTAAAAAGATCAATGCAACAAGAAGAGCTGATGATCCTAAATATATACACACCCAATACAGGAGCACCCAGATACATAAAGCAAGTTCTTAATGACTTATAAGGAGACTTAGACTCCCACACAATAATAGTGGGAGACTTTAACACCCCATTGTCAATATTAGACAGATTAACGAGACAGAAAATTAACAAGGATATGCAGGACTTGAACTCAGACTTGGAACAAGCAAACCTAATAGACATTTACAGAATTCTCCACCCCAAATCCACAAAATATCATTCTTTTCTGCACCACATCACACCTACTGTAAAATTTACCACATAATTGGAAGTAAATCACTCCTCAGCAAATGCAAAAGAACGGAAATCATAACAAACAGTCTCTCAGACCACAGTGCAATCAAGTTAGAACTCAGAATTCAGAAACTAACTCAGAACCGCACAGCTTCATGGAAACTGAACAACTGGCTCTTGAATGTTGACTGGATAAACAATAAAATAAAGGCAGAAGTAAAGATGTTCTTCAAAACCATTGAGAATGAAGACACAACATACCAGAATCTCTGGGACACATTTAAAGCAGTGTCTAGAGGAAAATTTATAGCAATAAATGACCACAGGAGAAGCAAGAAAAGATCTAAAATAGACACCCTATCATCAAAATTGAAAGAGCTAGAGGAGTAAGACCAAAAAAATTCAAAACCTAGCAGAACACAAGAAATAACTAAGATCAGAGCAGAACTGAAGGAGACAGAGACACAAAAAACCCTTCAAAAAAAATCAAAAAATCCAGGAGCTGGTTTTTCAAAAAGATCAACAAAATAGACCAAGAGCCAGATTAATAAGAGAGAGAATAATCAAATAGATGCAATAAAAAAAAGATAAAGGGGATATCACCACAGATTCCACAGAAATACAAACCATCATCAGACATTATTACAAACATCTCTATGCACATAAACTAGTAAACCTGGAAGAAATGGATAAATTCCTGGACACTTGTATCCTCCCAAGCCTAAACCAGGAGGAAGCAAAAACCCTAAATAGACCAATAACAAGGTCTGAAGTTGAGGCAGCAATTAAGAGCTTACCACCCAAAAAAAACCCAGGTCCAGATGGGTTCACAGCCAAATTCTACCAGACATACAAAGAGGAGCTGGTACCATTCCCTCTGAAACTATTACCAACAATCCAAAAAAAGGGAATCCTTCCCATGAGACCAACATCATCCTGATACCAAAACCTGGCAGAGACTCAACAAGAATAGAAAACTTCAGGCCAATATCCATGATGAACATAGATGCAAAAATCTTCAATAAAATACTGGCAAACCGTTTGCAAAAGCATATCAAAAAGCTTATCCACCATGATCAAGTAGGCTTCATCCCAGGGATGCAAGGCTGGTTCAACATATGCCAGTCTATAAACGTAATTCACCGCTTAAACAGAACCAAAGACAAAATCCACATGATTATCTCAATTGATGCAGAGAAGGCCTTTAACAAAATTCAACAGCCCTTTATGCTAAAAACCCTCAATAACTTAAGTATTGATAGAACGTTTCTCAAAATAATAAAAGCTGTTTATGACAAACCCACAGCCAATATCATACTGAATGGGCAAAAACTGGAAGCATTCCCTTTGAAATCTGACACTAGACAAGGATGCCCTCTCTCACCACTCCTATTCAGTATAGTTTTGGAAGTTCTAGCCAGAGCAATCAGGCAAGAAAAAGAAAAGGGTATTCAAATAGGAAAGGAGAAACTCAAATTGTCTCTATTTGCAGATGACATGATTATATATCTAGAAGACCCCATCGTCTCTGCCCAAAATCTCCTGAAACTGATAAGCAACTTCAGCAAAGTCTCAGGATACAAAATCAATATGCAAAAATCACAAGCATTCCTATACACCAATAACAGACTTAAAGAGAGCCACATCAAGAATGAACTGCCATTCACAGTTGCTACAAAGAGAATAAAATACCTGGGAATACAACTAACAAAGGATGCAAAGGACCTTTTCAAGAACTACAAACCACTGCTCACAAAATAACAGAAGACACAAACAAATGGAGAAACATTCCATGCTCATGGTTAGGAAGAATTGGTATCATGAAAATAGCCATACTGCCCAAAGTAATTTACAGATTCAATGCTATCCTCATCAAGTTACCAATGACCTTCTTCACAGAACTGGAAAAATCCACCTTAACTTCAAATGGAACCAAAAGGGAGCCCGCATAACCAAGTCAATTCTAAGCAAAAAAAAAAAAACAAAACAAAAAAAAAAAAAAAAAAACAAAAAAAAAAAACAAAACAAAACAAAACAAAACAAAACAAAACAACACACAAAGCAGGAGGCATCACACTACTGGACTTCAAACTATACTACAAGGCTACAATGCCTCTCCTCCTTCAGGGGATCACAGCTTCTCATCAGCAAGGGAACAAGGCTGATGGAGAATGAGTGTGATGAATTGCCAGAATCAGGCTTCAGAAGGTGGATAATAAGAAACTTCTGTGAGCTAAAAGTACATGTTCTAACCCAATGCAAACAAACTAAGAACCTTGAAAAAAGGTTTGAGGAAATGCTAACGAGAACAATTTAGAGAGAAATATAAGTGAATTAATGGAGTTGAAAAACACAATACAAGAATTTCGCAAAGTATGCACAAGTATTAGCAGTCAAATTGATCAAGCAGAAGAAAGGATATCAGAGGTCGAAGACCAACTCAATGAAATAAAACAAGAAGACAAGATTAGAGAAAAAAGGGTAAAAAGGAATGAGCAAAGTCTCCAAGAAATGTGGGACCATGTGAAAAGACCTAATCTACGTTTGAGAGGTGTACCTGAATGTGATGGAGAGAATGAATCCAAGCTGCAAAATATTCTTCAGGATATTATTCAGGAAAACTGTCCCAACCTAGCAAGGCAGGCCAATATTCAACTCCAGGAAATACAGAGAACACCACAAAGATATTCCTCTAGAAGAGCAACCCCAAGGCACATAATAGTCAGATTCGCCAGGGTTGAAATGAACGAGAAAATGCTAAGGGCAGACAGAGAGAAAGGTCAGGTTACCCACAAAGGGAAGCCTATCAGACTCACAGCAGATCTCTCAGCAGAAACCCTACAAGCCAGAAGAGAGTGGGGGCCAATATTCAACATCCTTAAAGGAAAGAACTTTCAACCCAGAATTTCATATCCAGCCAAACTAAGCTTCATAAGTGAAGGAAAAATAAAATCTTTTGTGAACAAGCAAGTACTCAGAGATTTCATCACCACCAGGCCTGCTTTACAAGAGCTTCTGAAAAAAGCACTACACATAGAAAGGAACAACCATTTTCAGCCATTCTAAAAATATACCAAAAGGTAAAGAGCATCAGCATAATGAAGAATCTACATAAACTAATGGGCAAAACAGCCAGCTACCATCAAATGGCAGTATTAAACTCACATATATTATTATTAATCCTAAATTTAAATCAACTAAATGCCCCAATCAAAAGACACAGACAGGCAAATTGGATAAAAAGCCAAAATCCATCGGTATGCTGTGTTCAGACCCATTTCACATGCAAGGATACACAAAGATTCAAAACAAAGGGATGGAGAAAGATTTACCAACCAAATGGAGAGCAAAAAATAAAAATAAAAAGCAGGAGTTGCAATCCTCACCTCTGATAAAATAGACTTTAAAGCAACAAAGATCAAAAGAGGCAAAGAAGGATCCTTTACATAATGGTAAAAGGATCAATACAAGAAGAAGAGCTAATGATCCTAAATATATACGCACCCAATACAGGAACACCCAGATATGTAAGGCAAGTTCTTAATGACTTATAAAGAGACTTAGACTCCCACACAATAATAGTGGGAGACTTTAACATCACATTGTCAATATTAGACAGATCAATGAGACAGAAAATTAACAAGGATATCCAGGACTTGAACTCAGACCCGGAACAAGTAAACTTAATAAACATTTATAGAACTCTCCACCCCAAATCCACAAAACATATATTCTTATCAGTACCACATCACACCTATTCTAAAAGTGACTACATAATTGGAAGTAAATCACTCCTCAGTAATTGCATAGCATTTCACAGGTTCAAATGAAATATTGGTTGGCTGCTTGTTTGTTATTTTCCTCCCTTATTCCTTCCTGTCTCTACTGTTAAGCAAAATTATTGGCATAAAAGAGGTTTTCAATATCCATTTTTAGACTGCATTCTAGCCTGGGCAATAAAGCAAGACTCCCATTCTCTCTCCTTCTTTCTCTTCCTCTTTCTTTCTCTCTTTCATTCTTTTTTTCTCTTTATTCCAAAAAAAAAAAAAAAAAAAAAAAAGACTTAAACATAAGACCTAACACCGTAAAAACCCAAGAAGAAAATCTAGGCAAAACCATTCAGGACATAGGCATAGGCAAGGACTTTATGACCAAAACACCAAAAGCATTGGCAACAAAAGCCAAAATAGACAAATGGGACCTAATCAAACTCCACAGCTTCTGCACAGCAAAAGATACAGTCATTAGAGTGAAACAGTGACAGAATGGGAAAAAATTTTTGCAACCTACTCATCCGACGAAGGGCTGATATCCAGAATCTACAAAGAACTAAAACAGATTTACAAGAAAAAAACAAGCCCATTCAAAAGTAGATGAAGGATATGAATAGACACTTTACAAAAGAAGACATACATGAGGCCAACAAACATATGAAAAAATGCTCATCATCACTGGTCATTAGAGAAATGCAAATCAAAACTACATTGAGATACCACTTCACGCCAGTTAGAATGGCAATCATTAAAAAATCTGGAGACGGCAGACTCCAGCATCTTCAGGAGCGACCATAGACTCCCTAACCGAGCCTCGGTGGCCTCCGGGTCTGGCAGATATGAAGACAATAGATGATTTGCTGCGATGTGGAATTTGCTTTGAATATTTCAACATTGCAATGATAATTCCTCAGTGTTCACATAACTGAATCATCTGTTGCAGTTTGCTTTGGAGTCACCACCCAAATTTCCTGCTTCTTCCTCATCAAAGAATCTTGCTGTCAAGGTAGATAGTCCTATAGCCTCCAGACTGTCTTTAAAGCAGGGCAACAGGTTAATGGATAATTTCTTGATCAGAGAAACGAGTGGTTCTACATCAGAGTTGTTGATAAAAGAAAATGAAAGCAAATTCAGCCCTCCAAAAGAGGCAAGCCCTGCTGCAAAGACCAAAGAGACACGTTCTGTAGAAGAGATGGCTCCAGGTTCCTCAGAGGCCAAGCGTCCTGAGACACCCTCGACATCCACTTTGAAACAAGTTACTAAAGTGGATTGTCCTGTTTGCGGGGTTAACATTCCAGAAAATCACATTAATAAGCATTTAGATAGCTGTTTAACACGCGAAGAGAAGGAAAGCCTCAAAGGAAGCCACTGCCCAAAACCATATATAATTTGCTCTCTGATCGTAATTTAAAGAAAAAGCTAAAAGAGCATGGATTATCTATTCAAGGAAATAAACAGCTCATTAAAAGGCACCTAGATTTTGTACACATGTACAATGCCCAGTGTGATGCTTTGCATCCTAAATCAGCTGCTGAAATAGTTCACGAAATTGAAAACATGGAGAAGACCAGGATGCGTCTTGAAGCTAGTAAACTCAATGAAAGTGTAATGGTTTTTACAAAGGACCAAACAGAAAAGGAAATAGATGAAATTCACAGTAAATATCGTAAAAAATGTAAGAGTGAATTTCAGCTTCTGGTGAATCAAGCTAGGAAAGCATATAAGAAAACTGCTGGAATGTCACAAAAAACAGTAACAATAACAAAAGAAGATGAATCTACAGAAAAGCTGTCTTCTGTATGCATGGGACAGGAAGATAATATGACCTCAGTAACAAACAACTTTTCTCAATCAAAGCTGGATTCCCCAGAGAAATTAGAACCTGACAGAGAAGAAGATTCTTCTAGTTGTACTGATATTCAAGAAGCTCTTTCTTCACCAGAATCAGATTCATGCAATAGTTCCAGTTCAGACATCGTAAGAGATCTTCCAGAAGAAGAGGAAGCCTGGGAAGCGTCACATAAAAACGATCTTCGAGACACAGAAATGAGTCCAAGACAGAATCGTCGCATAAGAACTCCTGAAAGTGCTGAGATTGAACCAAGAAACAAGCATAATAGGAATTAGTGTGGGCTTTTTCTGACCTTTCAAATGCAGTGATTAGAATATGATACTTTTGGTTGCTATATATAGATTTCCTATTTATAAATGCCCAAGGAAAGATGCTACAGTCTAAATACTATGGTTTAGCTGATTTTCATTCTTTTCTGCTTTTCCAGAGGGGAAAATTATTACAAAATATTCTCACTTGCTTAGTTGCCTCCTGCCTCTAAAACATCCCTCAGTAAAATTACTGACATTCACACAGGCCCCGCTTTGCAGAGTAGGCAGACTCTTCAGCACTTTGGCAGAGGAATTTGTTTTGGTTTGGTTTGATATCTAAATTTCAGACTGTCCTTAGGCCATTCTCCGCCTCTTCCATGGAGAATCCAATCTCACGAAAGGATTTTTTTCAACCTCTTTATTACAAGAAACAGTTGAGGAGTTAAATATCTGTATTTTTAGAAAGGCAGGATGTCAGTTCACATCTTAGGTGTGTGTGAGTGCCGATGCAGGCCACGACCATGCCTGTGTTACAGCAGTTCCATGATGATTGTTGCCCGAGGTTAATGCAGTTTTTTGTTAGACCTGTGTTTTACACAGTTTCTCAGAGTAGGATATTGGTATTATAATTTAGAGGCACAACAGTCACAAAGTCACAATAACTTAGAAACTTGCGCATATTCTTCTGAAATAGCACTCAAAAATGATTAGTGTCAGTATTTTTTCACTTGGGTCAGTCAAATCTGTAACACTGAATCTAAGCTATTAAACAAAAAGTATGCAATAAATGAATTTTGTAAATGAAAAAAAAATCTGGAGACAACAGATGCTGGAGAGGATGTGGAGAAATAGGAACACTTTTACACTGTTGTTGGGAGTGTAAATTAGTTCAACCATTGTGGAAGACAGTGTGGCAATTCCTCAAGGACCTAGACAGAGAAATTCCATTTGACCCAGCAACCCCATTACTGGGTATATATCCAAAGGATTATAAATTGTTCTACTGTAAGGACACATGCACACCAATGTTCACTGCAGCACAGTTTACAATAGCAAAGACCTGGAACCAACCCAAATACCCATCGATGATAGACTAGACAGGGAAAATGTGGCACATATATACCATGGAATACTATGCAGCCATCAAAAATGAAGAGTTCGTGCCCTTTGTAGGGACATGGATGAACCTGGAAACCATCATTCTCAGCAAACTGACACAAGAACAGAAAATCAAACACTGCATGTTCTCACTCATAGGTGGGTGTTGAACAATGAACACGTGGACACAGGGAGGGGAGTATCACATACCGGGGTCTGTAGGGGGAAATAGGGGAGGAACAGCAGGTGGTGGGGAGTTGGGGAGAAATAGCATGGGGAGAAATGCCAGATATAGGTGATGAGGAGGAAGGCAGCACATCATACTGCATGTGTGTACCTATGCAACAATCTCACATGTTCTTCACATGTACCCCAAAACCTAAAATGCAATTAAAAAAATAGAAAATTATAAGCCAGGAACTGTGGACAAACACCAATAATATCACAGTAGTCTAGCCCCACCTATTAATTTTTCGTATTTCTAGGACTCTTTCCAAGCGGACGTTAAGAATTAGGTATAGGCTGGGCGCGGTGGCTCACTCCTGTAATCCCAGCACTTTGGGAGGCTGAGGGGAGTGGATTACCTGAGGTCGGGAGTTCAAGACTAGCCTGACCAACATGGAGAAACCCGCCTCTACTAAAAATATACTATTAGCTGGGAGTGGTGGCACATGTCTGTAATCCTAGTTACTCAGGAGGTTGAAGCAGCAGAATCGCTTGAACCCGGGAGGCAGAGGTTGTGGTGAGCCGAGATCGCGCAATCGCACTCCAACCTGGGCAACAAGAGCGAAACTTCGTCTCAAAAAAAAAAAAAAAAAAAAATTACATATAATCCAGAAACTATTTATTGGACAATTTACTTTTACTGGGTAAAACATCTTTTACTATAATACCTTTTAAGTGTCTTTAAGCTCATTGTTCAGATTTACCATTTACTTCCTACAAGAGGAAGAGATTTTTTTCTTTCCATGGTAATTTGGCCAGCATGGGCTGAGCTTTTCTCATTCACAAGATCTATCTTCCTCCACTATCCCTTCTGTTGGCTGGATATGAGGTCACTGGATATGGATTTTTTTAGATCACAAACTTCAAAGGCAGCAGCATTCTGCCATAAAGCAATCTGTTCAAATCGAACAGGGAGGTTTTCAGATTATCCAGCATTTAAAGAGTAATCAATACAATGAATCAATTGTCATTTAAAAATGTTCATGTTTGGACAAGAGTCTAAGGAAATTTCTGAAATGCCTAACAGTTTTCGTGACCCAATACCTGTAATTTGAGAGAAGACAATGACATGGACGCTTCAGTACAACCACCTTTAAATTTTGATAAAAACAAAGAAGAGATAGAAAACAGGTCCAAGATAAATTCTAAATGTAAGTTTAGCCAGGAGTTGTAAGCATGCGTCACAAGATTTTTTTTTAAATCGGTCTTTATCATGGTTTTATTTTCTCCTTCCTTGGTCAGAAATGTCAGCAGATAGAAGATGATGAAAGTATACCTAAAGGTGTGCCACAGACTGCATAACAAAATGCTAAAAATGTCTGCATTGGTACAATAAATTATTTTCAGTTTGCATGGACTATCAATTGTATTCATAATTAATCTTGGGAAGTAGAAATGGCATTTGAACAAGACCATTTTTATACTTATAACAAGGCATTTAGAGAGTCAGGATTAAAAACCACATCTTCTGGTTCCAAAATCAGAGTTCTATTACTGTTCTGTACTGATTTCAATATACCTTTGCTGTAGAACTCCAACAAATCTCACATGCATTGAAATACTATACTCTCATTTCAGAAACTCTTGATAATAATAAATACCTTTATGCATGGTGTTCAGATTATAGAAGGATAAAGAGGCCTGTAACATGCTAAAACTTGTTAAATTGGCCAATGAAAATGTGGCTAGATGGTTCAAAGGAAAGCTTTAGAATTTAGTTAGAAATATAAAATACTAAAAAGTTTGCCAAACAACCTGGATCATTTTAAACTCATGCTATGTGCAATGACCTTAATTTGCCTTAAAACATCATTCAAAATAATAATTCCAATCTGTCAAAAATCAACCATAGGCTGGGCATGGTGGCTCACACCTGTAATCCCAGCACTTTGGGAGTCTGAGGCAGGCAGATCATCTGAGGTCAGGATTTCAAGACCAGCCTGACCAACACGGTGAAATCCCATATCTACTAAAAATACAAGAATTAGCAGGGCATGGTGGCAGCTGCCCATAATCCAGCTACTTGGGAGGCTGAGGCAGGCAAATCGCTTGAACGTGGGAGGTAGAGGTTACAGTGAGCCAAGATCGCACCACTGCACTCCAGCCTGGGTGACAGACTCTGTCTCAAAACAAAAACAAAACAACCATAGTATCACTATTTCACAACATCCCAAAATGCATTAAGATAAAATGTCATAGCTAGTCCACACTTCTCAGTCTCTGATAAAGAAGTTTTTCAAGGAAAACAACTTGCTTTAGTTTTAAAAATATAATTCTCTACTAACTGTACTTGTGGGGAAGTTGTATATGTTTTGTAAAAGCTTTCTGAGTCATTACAGGATTACTACAAACACAAATACAGGCATGCACAAATGCAGTCAGAAAGCCTGGATTCTGGCTGGGTGCAGTGGCTCACGCCTGTAATCCCAACACTTTGGGAGGTAGAGGCTGGTGGATCACCTGAGGTCAGGAGTTCAAGACCAGCCTGGCCAACATGGTGAAACCCCATCTCTACAAAAATACAAAAATCAGCTGGGCATGGTGGCAGGTGCCTGAAATCCCAGCTAGTCAGGAGGCTGAGGCAGGAGAATCACTTGAACCTAGGAGGCTGAGGTTGGAGTGAGCTGAGATCATGCCACTGCACTCCAGTCTGAGTGACAGAGCGAGACTCCGTCTCAAACAACAACAACAACAACAACAACAAAAACAAGGCTGGATTCTATAAAAATAAATTTTACTATGGCCTATTTTAGAAAGTACTTACTATTCTTTGAAAATGATCCAACTTTTAAGGTAGGTTTTTCTTCTTCTGAATCAGCACAACTAAATATTTGTGATACAAGCAAAGAAGGAAAAACATACTCCACTGGGTGAAACCTCAAACAGAAGAGGGAAGATCAACAGAAGTCTTCAATAAACTGACAGACTTTTAAATGTAAGGCTGCATAAAAAACACTCCAACATTTGAAAAGTCAGGTTTGTTGATAGCCCCTTCAAATGAGTGTAGAAGGCTGAACAGTGGCCCCCAAAGAAATCGAGAACTTTATACGTGGAACTTGTGGATGTTGCCTTATTTGGCAAAAGGGATTTTGCAGATGTGATTAAGTTAAGGATCTTGAGGTGGGCGATTACCCTGGATTAGCCAGGTGGGCTCTAAATGTAATCGTAACTATCCTCACAAGAGGGATGCAAAGGGACATTTAGCTACAGAAGCTGATATGATGGAGATACAGATCTGAAGAGTCCATGTGCTGGCTTCGAAGATGAAGGGAGAGGCCATGAACCAGGAATGCAGTTCTAGAAGCTAGAAAAGTCAAGGAAACCATTGTCCCCTACAGCCTCCTGAGGGAATGCGGGATTCTGACACTTTGATTTCAGCCCAGTTAAACTGCTTTCATAGTTCTGCACTCTAGAACTATATGAGAATGAATATGTGTTGTGTTAAGCCACCAAGTCTGTGTAATTTGTTATAGTAGATACGGGAAACGAATACAGTAATAGCGATAGAAGCCTTCATCCAGTTAAAATCTACCAACTCTCCACCACCTAGAACTATTCTAAATTCTATTACGTGTTTTTTATTAAGGATGTTTAATAGTGATATAATGACTGAAAACCAGCATAAAATCTTAATAAAAACTTTATACTTATTAAAGCAATTTTAGGCAGTATGTTTGCCAACTGGGTATCTTCAACTGCAG